TTTCTATTCTATTCCACTGATCAATGGATTTTTGTCCCTTTTCTAATGACAGACATTCATGATTAACTACACAATAAACATTAAAATATTCTTTTATTCATTATTACTTATTAAAGCAGAGTTATCCTTGTTTATTTTTTATCTTTCACTCACATTTCAGAATAATCTTACCAATTGTCCTAAATATTTGGGCTGCTAAAACATAAGATCATGTCACTTATAAAATAACAAAACCATATTTCACAGTTGAAGAGGCTGGAAAGTCCAAAACCAAGATATGAGTAGGCACAGTATCTGGTATGAGCTCACTTCCTTATTCACTGGCTGTCTTAATGTTGTGTTCACCTCTGGTGGAAGGAGTAAGGGATCTCTCTGGGTCCCTTTCATAAGGACACTAATCCCATTCACCAGGGCTTTTCCCTCCTCATTTAATCATCACACTAGGGATTAGGTTTCAATATATGAATCTTGGGAGGGACACAAACAGCCTCATACTTACAAGAAGTCTTGTTGGGTAAATACCAAAGTTCAGAAAACCAGTTATATGTGGTAACAGGAAAGTGTGTATTTCTAAGACCAGGTTTCTCTCTCTCTCTCTCTCTCTCTCTCTCTCTCTCTCTCTCTCTCTCTCTTCTGTTTTTTGTATCACACCTGGAAATGCGCAGGGGTTACTCCTGGCTCTGCACTCGGAAATTACTCCTGGCGGTGCTCAGGGGACCATATGGGATGCTGGGAATCGAACCCGAGTCAGCTGTGTGCAAGGCAAATGCCCTACCTGCTGTGTTATCACTCCAGCCCCAACCAGGTTTTTTCTTGAGATCCATCCTTGAAAATCCAACTATCCATTTAGGCAATTACCTTAGGGTAAAAATATGAGCACTCAGATATTCTTCCATATTCCAGTTTATCCTCTGGTCTTCATTTACTTATTTTAGTAAATGGAACGACTACTGGCCAACTACTTAAACCAAAAGGCTTCTGTATAAAAATGCTCTTAAAAATTTCTCTCGATGAGTGCCCAAGAACAGATGACTGGTTAAAGAAACTTTGGTACATCTACACAATGGAGTATTATGTAGCTCTTAGAAAAGATGAAGTCATGAACTTTACATACAAGTGGTACAATATGGAAAGTATCATGTTAAGCGAAATGAGTCAGAAAGAGAGGGATAGACATAGAAAGATTGCATTCATCTGGGGGATATAAAATAACAAAATATGAGATTAATACCCAAGAATAGCTGAGATCAACACCAGGAGGATTACTCCATAGCTTAGAGGCCAGCCGGGTATTCTAGGAGAAAGGACAGTTCAGATAGAAAAGGGAACACCAAATGGAGGGTGTTTGGAGGATCCTCCCAGGAGGGGAGATGCAGGTTGAAAGTAGACTGGACTGAACATGTTCGCCACTCAATGCCTCTTTTGCTGATCACAACACCCCAAAGGAGAGAGAGAACAAAAGGGAATGCCCTGCCACAGTGGCAGGGGGGGGGTGGGGGGGGGGAGGGATATTATCCTGGTGGTGGAAAATGGGCACTGGTGGAGGAATGGGTATTTGATCGTGGTATGACCGAGATCCAAGCACAAAAATTTGTAAATCTACAACTGTACCTCATGGTGTTTCACTAATAATAAAAAAATAAAAAAAAATAAAAAAAGAAGAATGAGTGATGGGAGTGAAACTGGAGAGGGAGGAACTGGTTTAAAAAAATTTCTCTCGAGAACAAAAGGGAATGCTCTGCCACAGGGTTGGGGTGGGACGGGGGTGGGGGTGGGGGTGAGAGAGATTCTGGGAGCACTGGAGGTGGGGAATGAGCACTGGTGGAGGGAGGGGTACTCAATCATTGTATAACTGAAACCCAAGCACAAAAATCTGTAAGTCTACAACTGTACCTCAGGGTGTTTCACTAATAAAAAAAATAAATAATAAAAAAAATTCTCTCGAAATAAAATTCAAACTACTCACTTAAAACCTACATGGTCTCCTTATTACACACCTCTCTCTTAATCTAACTCTGTCTTCTTTGCTCTTTCACTGTTTCTGGCTGGCTCTATCATTTAGGACCCTTCTCAGATCTAACTGTTCTATCCCACAAAAGTAATAATAGTGACTAAGATTTATTTACCTAGGAGCCCTAGACACACCTCAACGATTGGAATTTGCAGGGCCCCGTTTTGATCCAGACCCTTGGAACCCATAAATGGACTCCAGAACACCATCAGGTGCAGTTTTGGTGACCCCCAGTATCACTGAAGTATTAACCCCCACCAAAAATAGATTTCTCTTTCATTAAAATTATCTCTTTACTAACCACCACAACTTAGTTTTAATCCTCACAACAATCCTACTGATCAGGCACCATCATTATCTCCATTTTACAGACAATTAAACCACTGTAGAAGAAAAAAATGCTAAGTAAATTGCACAAGGGCATGGAGTTACTGATGAAGTGGTTTAGCCAGGAAATATGCCTGGTGATTTGACTTCAGAGCACTTATTTCCATTGGAGCACCCACAATATGCAAATCTGGTTTATTTGTTCCTTGTCTTTCCTCATTAAAACAAAGCAAAACAAAATCTAGAGTTCTGAGAGGCAATTAGGTTTGTCTTTGATGTTATCTCCCCAAACTTTGTTTCTCCTGACAGTGGTCAATGATTCATATCATGTATTGAATGATTCACATAGAAAGACAAGCCTACACCCAATTAACCCAACTAAACACATATGTCTGAGAAAATGTCTTAAGTGAATAATGTCATTTTTCTTTGTTTACTGGGGGATAATCCAGGCAGTGCTCAGGATTCACTCCTGGATCTACACTTAGGGATCACTCCTGAGGGGTTTAGGGATCATATGGGGTGCCAGAAATCAAACTGGGTTGGCATCATGCAAGTCAAGTGACTTGCCTACTATACTCTCACCCCAATGTTAAGTTTTTGTTTGTTTTGTTTCTGGGTGATACTCAAAAGTATTCAGAGCTTACTCCTGACTCTCAGGGATAACTCCTATAAATGCTTAGAGTACCATAAGTGCTGTCAAGGGTACAACCAGGGTAAGCTGCATGCAAGCCAAGTGTCTTAACCTCTGTACTATCATTCTGGCCTCCCTCATTTCAATTTTTTACCTCAAATATTCCTTTAAAAAAGTATTGTAAAAGATTTCAAAGACTAGCCTACAGCTGTTGTCCTTTTAAACCATCTTGCAGCACATCCATGTGCTCGCTCCTTGGTGAATTTGCTTTTTCATGACAGCAAAGATAATCAAAATGCAATCAACATTTCATCTAAAAGTTAGATGCAGAAAAGTCAGTAAAAAGAGTTTGGGGGTATCTAGATTACCCTTGACCTCAATGTTTAGAGAGGAGAAGGACAGAGAAGAAAAGAAATCAAGTGGAGGAATAAGGGGGGTGGAGAAGAGAACTGAAAGTAATGGGTGAATAGGTATTAGGGCGTCAATTAACTGGTGATATGGGTAAATGGTCTAGTCATATATTTAAAATACAGACTCAGCAAAACTGAAAACACGGGAGCTAAGCTGTAACCACAAAAGTTTGTAATGCGCTATCAAGTTCACAGGCAGGGATAGGGTGGGGATTAGGGTTGGGAGGGAATATGGGAACACTGGTTGAGGGAAGTTGACACTGACGGTGGGGTGGGTGTTGAAATATTATACCTGACACCCTGAAACTCAACTACCAATAACTTTGTAAAGCACGAGAGAGAGAGAGAGAGAGAGAGAGAGAGAGAGAGAGAGAGAGAGAGAGAGAGAGAGAGAGAAGAGTTTGGGCTGCTTTTGCCCAGACTTGTTTGCAGAAATAGTCCTTTATCCTACATTGCTTTAGTTCAGGAAGTTCTAGCCTCATATGGAAATACCTGCCAAGACCACCCACAGATGGATGCTTGAAACCTCACAGCACAGAGCCCTTTATATACCCCTCATAGAGTTCCCACCCCGCATAAAACACATACCTATCTTCAAAAAAGCTTAACTGATTACGTAGGCAGGGTAAGAGATTGACTGCTAACAGCACACTGCCGCAGAAATAGATCTGTGAGTGTGGGCTCTCTCTCTAAATTACTTAAAGGAATAAGGTATTTTCAGAGAACCAGGGAGGTTCACAAACCACTGAAACTGGGTTAGGGAGATCTATACCTGTTTTGGGGGACGTATTAATCATCCACCCCAACTCTTTCGAACCATTCTCCCTCATGTAGGGCACCTACGTGATCTAGAGTTTGCCAGGGGAGAAGCTGTAGTCTCTTCAGAGGAGAGCTGAGAGCCCCTGAAATATGAAGGAGTTGTTCTTGGGGTCCGTACTTGGGGACCCCACTCCCATTGCTTCTAGCATTGAAGATTTGGGTCCCATAGAGCTGTATCTTTCTCTCCTACAAGTTTATTTTATTTTTATTTTTTTTAGGAGTTACTCCTGGCAGTGCTCAAGGGACCAAATGGGATGCTGGGAATTGAACCTGGGTTGGCTGCGTGCAAGGCAAACGCCCTACCCGCTGTGCTATCTCTCCAGCCCCTCTCCTACAAGCTTAGCAAATAGGTACGTCAGGGAGGTCGCTTCAGGGCGAAATCTTTCTGTGACCCAGCATGGAGTCCCTACACTGCTGCCTTCATTCGTGGGACCGAGCAAAGACGGTACAAAGAACGAACAAGGGGTAAATCCCTGAGGAAAGAATTCGAAGCACCAATCTGCAGTCTTGGTGGACGCGTGAGTCAGTCAAGGCCGCCTGAACAAGCTCCCTCACACCCACAGGGCCCATCAGCTGTGCGTAAGCGCTAGGGGGACGCCGTAGAGGTGGGAGGGCGGGGGGGGGGGGGGGGGGGGGAGGGGGCTGTTGCACTGCGCCTGCGCCTCAGGCCCCACAGCCCCAGCACCACACGCGTGCGTCGAGCCTCCTCTAAAGCCGCTCTTCCCGCGCAGCCCGAGCCCAGGCCCTATCGCGCAGGCGCAGCCGGGACACGCATGCGCAGTGAGGCGCGGGGCGGCCGCGAGCGAGTGACCATGGCGGTGAATGCGGTTCGTGGTCTGGCTGTGGCCGGAGGAGGCGAGAGCAGCGAGAGCGAGGATGACGGCTGGGAGATCGGGTATCTGGATCGCTCAGCACAGGTTACTCACCTTCACCACACCCATAGGGGCCTCTCTCAGTTTCCCTGAACATCCGCCCCCCCACCACCACTTCCGGTAGAGCCTTTGGGACGCCGAGACGCGTAGTTGAATTGGATTCTTCCTTCTTCTGCTCTTTCCATGAATGCGCTTGATTATTATTTTTTTAATTAATTTTTTTCTTTTGCTTTTTGGATCACATCTGGCACTGCACAGGGGTTACTCCTGGCTCATGCACTCAGGAATTACTCCTGGCGGTGCTCGGGGGACCATATGGGATGCTGGGAATCGAAGCCGGGTCAGCCGTGAGCAAGACAAATGCCCTACCCGCTGCTACCCGCTGTGCTATCGCACCAGCCCCCTTAATTATTATTATATTTTTTTACTTAAGACATCATGATTTATAAAGCGTTTTTGTTTATAATAGTGTTTCAGGCATTGCCGATCTCATGTCCCCGTGACCTAATCCCTTTGGCCAGTGACCACCAGGTTGCTGCCACCCGTTAGCGCTTAGAAAGCGCTCACCTTGCATGGGACTGACCCAGGCTCTTCACGTGATCTGATCACTGCCAGGAGTAAGTCCTGAACACCCCAGGGTGGCAGCCTCCCCCCCCCCACGCCCCCAATAGACTCCAGCTTCAAAGGCGCTACTTTAGACCTTTTTATTTGGTAGCACTTTGACCTTGGGTTTGGTACATCACTCTCCATCCCCTACCTGCTTAGAAACCTTGCATCACCTCCTTCTCCCCAAGTTTATATAATAATGATTGGGCTTCAATCATAGTCTTAACAGGAAACGTCCTTGTTTCCTTGAATTGAAGATAACCAGGATGATCCCAGGCTCCTCCCCCACCTTTCTTTTGTAGAAATTAAAAGGCCCATTACCCACCGAAGAAAAGAATGAAACATTTAAGAAAGCCTTGACCACGGGAGATATTTCATTGGTCCAGGAGCTCCTAGATTCTGGTAAGCCATAAAGCCCATCTTCCAGGCTCCAAGTAGTGTCTGATTTCATGGGGGTTCTGGGCTTTTAAACAGTTTGGGTCTCTTTTCTCATAGCAGTTCAAGAAGTTTACCAAGTGTCTTTTTGCCGTAAAGTTCTTGGAAGGTGCAGATCCTACCTGTCTTCCCACCTTGTAGTTCTTTTAAAGTGACAGATCCTTTCTGTAGTTATTTCTGCTCTAGTTTTTCCTCTCAAATATGGAAAACAGCCCCAGTGGCCTTCTATCAATTCGTCCTCCTCCTTCCGACATGTCCTAGCAACTTAATAATCCTTTTAACATTTTGAGCGACTACTGCTCATGGATGGGTAAGTGCTCTTGTGGGTCCTGTATTTGGATCGAATTAAATATATCTTTAATTATGTTGAAATAGAAATGAGGGTTGTTGTTTGACTGAAATGATCCAGAGGCCCAGCAAGCATTGACTCTCTACTTCTAAGTACTAAAGCAGGCACGCTCAATGCATCCAGGTGTAGCAAATGTTTTTCTGTTTACAGGCAAGATGCTACTTGGTTTAGTAGAAAGCAGGTCATTTTGGAAACAATACAATTCTTTTAATTAAAAGAGAAAAACTTAAGTTCTTCAGAAGTCTAATGAATACGAAGTATAAGTAGAAAGTTTCCTTTGTCCTTACTTGCACAGGTAGTTTATAGGTTCTCTTGGGTTTTCTTCCAAATTTCATTATTTAACACTTTAAGAGTACTTTTGAGTGTTAAATTATTAAGAATATTTATACTGAAATGCCAAATTAGATTATCTTTATTTCACATTTTCCTGTCTACCTTTGTCATCACAATTTGAACACTAATAATAAGGAAAAAATGAGAAGATAATGATTTTTTCTCTGATCTCATTCATGTTTTCAGTTGGAATATGTTAAAAAGGAAATGTTGGGGTCAGAGAAGTAGTACAAAGGTTAAGATGCTTGCCTGCATACAGCAGCTTATGTTTGTTTGAGCACAAGCACCAGGTGGACCCCAAACACCATCAAGAGTACAAACATCTCCAGGTTGTGCCCTGAAACCACGAAAAATAAAATGGAAAAATTTTCAGACAAGATTGGGTCAGCAGTATAAGTGTGGAGTAAATGGTCTTATGTTGTCTTTTTCCAGTAATTATCAAGAAGTTTCTATTGTCTTTTCCCAGAAATTAACATGCCCTGTATATCCATTATCATCAGTTAAGATTTAGCAACTAAATGGAATCCTTTATAGTCAGAGATTTTAAAATCTGCAAATTATAAGGTGTTGAAATCAGACCTATAATTCAGTGGTTTGCACATACATGTTTTCCTTCTTTGAAGCATGGAAATGGTCTTTCCTCTTTCCGTTATTAACATTCACTAGAAAATATTTATTTGTTGAAGAGATTTATCCTTAAATTTTTGTTCTTTTCATAAAATAAAAATACCTTATATAAATGTACTGTTGTTGTTTACTGCTTCCTTGTTTTCTGTGACATCTTTTGTGCTCTGCCCTGAGCAGTTCAGCCATAATTTTCTTTTTTAATATGACCAGTGTTGTTAGGTAAAAATCAGATGACTACAAGAATTTGTACCATTAATAATTTAAGAATTTAGCAAATTTTATTTATTCTTTCCCATCTTGTTCTGACTATTAAAAACCTTATTCCAGGGCCAGAGAGTATAGCAAACTGGGCCCTTACATTGCATGTGATTGACCCAGGTTCAATCCCCAGCATTCTCTGGTCCCCTGAGCCCTACCAGGAGTGATCCCTGAGCATAGTGCCAGGAGTAAGTCCTGAGTACTGCCAGGTGTGACCCCAAAACCAGAATAAACAAATAAATGAAAGGATCTCGAGAGATGGTATGGCAGACCTTTAATGCAGCTGACCCTAGTTAAATTCCTAGCTCTGCATGTGTCCTCTGAGATCTGCAAGAGTCCTGAGTAACTAGGTGTGGCCCCAAATCAAAGCAAAATCTTTCATCCTACTTTTCACAACAGGTAAGTCCTCTTATTAATCTTCTTCTTATAGCTCATGATTTGTTATTCCTTTTTCCAAATCAGAACCTGATAGACATTTTTTGTTTGTGGGTCACATTCAGTAGGGATTGTGGGCTACTTCTGACTTGGAGATTCTTTCCTGATGGTGGTCAGAAACCTGCAGTCTTGGGGATCAATCCAGAGCTGCTGCATATACAACATGCTCTCGATCCCTGAATGTCTCGATCCCTAATAGCCATTTTTGACTTCTTTTATATCACGGCTTGTCTTCTAAGTATTTTTTTAAGTTTTAAAATCTTGCCTTTTGTTAGTGAAGCAAGATAGTTTTTCTCGGAAATTTACTTAGACATGAGAGAGAAAAAGAGGAATGCACTTTTTAAAAAAAATTTTTTTATTAGTGAAACACCATGAGGTACAGTTATAGACTTACAAATTTTTGTGCTTGGGTTTCAGTCATACAATGATCAAGTACCCATCCCTCCACCAGCACCCATTCTCCACCACCACAGGTCCCAGCATCACTCCCACCCCCTATACCCCACATCCCACCCTGCCTCTGTGGCAGGGCATTTCCCCTTGTTCTCTCTCTCTCCTTTTGGGTCCTGTGGTTTGCAAGAGAGGCATTGAGTGGCAGTTATGTTTGGTCTATAGTCTACTTTCAGCATGCTTCTCCCATCCTGAGAGGATCCTCCCAATACCCTTTATTTGGTGCTCCCTTCTCTATCTGAGCTTTCCCTTCCCGTAGCACATGTGGCTGGCCTCCAAGCCACGGAGCAAAATTCCTGGTATTAATCTCAGCTACTCCTGGGTGTTAGTCTCCCATTTTGTTATTTATCTTCCTCAGATGAATGCAATCTTTCTGTGTCTATCCCTCTCTTTCTGACTCATTTCACTTAACATGATACTTTCTATGTAGTACCACTAGTATGTAAATTTCATGACTTCATCTTTTCTAACAGCTACATAGTACTCCATCGTGTAAATGTACCAAAGTTTCTTTAACCAGCCATCTGTTCTCGGGCACTCAGGTTTTTTCCAGATTCTGACTATTGTAAAGAGTGCTGCAATGAACAAACAATTGCGGATGTCACTTCGACTATACTTTTTTGCCTCTCTGGGATATATTTCCAGGAGTGCTATTGCTGGGTCAAATGGGAGCTCAATTTCTAATTTTTTGAGAATCGTCCATACTGTTTTCCAAAAGGGTTGTACCAGTCGGCATTCCCACCAGCAGTGAAGGAGGGTCCCTTTCTTGCCACATCCTCGGCAGCACCAGTTGCTTTTGGTCTTTTGGATGTGGGCCTGTCCCTGTGGTGTGAAATGATATCTCATTGTTGTTTTGATCTTTATCTCCCTGATGATTAATGATGTAGAGCATTTTCTCATATGCCTTTTAGCCTTTTAAGAGAGAACAAACTGACTTGAAAGAGCAAACTGATACTCTTACCTTTAAAATGTCCTTTCGGGGGCCTGAGAAATGTTCAGTGAATAGGATGCTTGCCTTGCATGCAGCCAACCTGAGTTTGATCCCCAATATCCCTTATGTTTTCCTGAGCCTGCCAGTGATTCGTGATTGCAGAGCCAGGAGTAAACTGAGCATCGCTGGGTGTGTCCTAAAGAACAAAAATTAAAAAATAAAATATACTTTTGTATTTCTTACCACCCCCATGTCCACTTCCCTTTTCCTGTCTTCAGTTTCATATCTCCCCTTCCCTTTTCTTTTCTTTTTTTGCTCCCCTGGATCTAACTTCAGCATTGACTTTTTTTTTTTCTTTTTGGGTCACACCCAGCGATGCACAGGGGTTACTCCTGGTTCATGCACTCATGCACTCAGGAATTACTCCTGTCTGTGCTCAGGGGATCACATGGTACGCTGGGAATTGAACCCGCGTCTGGTGGCGTGCAAGGCAAACACCCTACCCGCTGTGCTATCACTCCAACCCCTAGCATTGACTTCTAACTTCATAGTTGGTCTCCCTGCCTTCTGTCTGACTCTCAAAACTGGTACCTGGGTTGTCTTTTTAATATAAATATAAAGGTAACTTCTGCATCCCAAAGTATGCACTATATTTCTTAACAGAATTTTTGTAATCTTACCCTAATATAACATTGTAGCCTCATGTTTCACAGTCACCTGTGAATGAGTTTTGCGTTGGAAGGAAATTCAGGGAGTCTTAGTAATATAGATGGTGTTTGCTATGATGCAGCACTCTGATAATACCTAATTAAAAAGATCCCTTTGAAACTCTTTTCCAGCTCCCATAGAGAAAAAATAACAGAAAAAATATTTTCCAGTACAGTCTATTTCATGTAGTATCTGATAAAACATTCATCAGCTCGAGTCTCTTGAAGGAGACTACTTATGAAATTGAAATCAGTTAATTATTTGGGGGGTGGTGGGTATTTCCAATTAGTACTCAGAGATTCCCAGGGCACTTTCAGTGTTACTCAGCTAACGAGTTTAGGGAGCTCAGTGCTAGAGCCCAGGGACAGTGGTATTGGTCTTGCACTGCTGTGGACCACTGAGGCTACCCCGGAAATGCACTGGTGCCTCCATGGCTGCACCTGACTGCGTGGGGAACGTACCTCTGGGGCTATACCTCACAATGTGGGGACAGTGAGCTAATTTCTTTAAAGTAAAGATCTAACTTCTTGATTTTTCAGAGGACTTTATTACCAAGAAATTTCCTTGTACTATTGAGAACACAATGCTGTCACTATGCAGACTACTTTATGCATATCAAGGTAACTGTGATTATTTGTGGTAGAGGATACTTAAAAGCTTATTTTTATGTTGACAGGCATAAGTGTAGAGTCTAGCTTTCGATATGGATGGACCCCCCTTATGTATGCTGCTAGTGTTTCCAACGTAGAAATGGTTCGGGTTCTTTTGGATAGAGGTGCTAACGCAAGCTTCAGTAAGGGTAAGTTTTTTTTTTTCCAGTAACATACATGAAAAATTACTTTACATATTTCTCTGATTAGAAGCCTCATTCTCTTTAGAGATAATAATATATTATTTCCATGCTCTGCTTTCATGTATTCACTTTTAAATAAATTTTGTTATTAAATTAAAAAGATGTTTGAGGTATAAAACCGGCTGTGTTTAGTGTAATTTTATTGATTTCTGAGCAACTAAACATAAAGAAAAAACAAAAATATCAATTTCCCTCACTCTAAAAAATCTTCCCTGGACCAGAGAGATAGTATGGGAATAAAGAACTTGCCTTGCACGCAGTCTACCCCAGTTTGGTCCCTGGTACTGCATATGATCCTTGGACCCTCACCAAGAGCCATCCCTGAGCACAGCCAGCTCTAGGCCCCCCAAGTAAACTCTTCCCATACTTGTGTTATTTGCTCGAGCGATTTGCTCGAGCGGGCCCAGTAACGTCTCCATTGGAGACTTTGTTGTTACTGTGTTTGGCATATTGAATACGTCACGGGGAGCTTGCTAGGCTCTGAGTATAAGAAAATCGAGTTATTTAAACCTCTTTCCAATGAAGTAGCATTCATTTAAAATCTTTTTGTTACTGCATATGTAACTGTATAGCTTTGGGTGAAGGATACGGCTAATTGGAAAGACATCTGTCTTGTATGTGTGAAGCCTTTGTTCCTATCCGTTGCATTGCAGTGAAATAAGTAAATATTAAGTTTACATTCATAAACTTTAATTTCTCTGCTAGTTAGATTTGGTGGATTTGAAGAAAAATACATAGAAAACATTAAAAACCTAGTAATTTGTGGAAAATTACTGGAAATATCAATCTTTGAAATATAAAACTCAATTCTGAAACAACCATTTGAGTTATTTAAAACATTTTAAAATTCATATTATTTCTGCCTTTAATTAATGATATCTTCTCGATTGTATGTGCTCTGAGTACTTAGGAAGAATAATATTTGTGAAAATACTTTTTTCTATTGAATTATTGATTATTTTTAACATAACAGTATTAATTTCATAATTCAGGTATCGTTTTTCTTAGGGTTTTCACAGTAATTTTTTATCTTTGTATTGTAAAGACATCTATTTGTTTTTTCAGTTTTATATTTTATGTAAATTCCTATGTTATTAAGTTTTATTTTTAATCTATCTCTATAAAACTCTCTTCTTACTACATTGTTTTAAAATATCACCCAATTAAAGCCATACTTTGGAATGAGGTTTTTGACTGTATCTGAAATATTCTACTTAAAATAGTGCTTGGTAGTTTTTTGTCACTGCTGCTTGAAATCAGAGGAACACCTTACAATTGGAAAACACCAGTTTTCAATCAAAGTAATTTTATAATTTAAAAACATTTTTTCATAGTGTATTTTTATAAAGGGTTTATGTATCCTACAATAGCCCCATTGGGTAAAGAAGACAAGTAGTTGCCTCCGATCTGTGTTAGAGCTGCTGAGTTGTTAAGATATCAGGGGAGTCATAGTTTATCAGTGGCAGATTTGAGATTAGAATCTTTATCATATACTTTGTCAATATTAAATTTGTATCACTAATGTAAAACAGGATTTCATGACATACTTTGAATCCCTCAGTTTTAACTTGAAGTCTTTTTGTTTAATCTACCATGATTTCCATAGTGCCATAGGAGCTAAGGAACAATTTTAAGAAAGTGGGGTAAGCTTAGGGAGATCAAATAGAAAAGATTCAAAAGTAAATACATGTGGCATTTAGATCATTTTCAGTAAGGTGTTTAGAGAATAATATTTCATTGAGTTGTCAAATGAGTAAGCTGTGCAAGGGCAAAATGAGAGAATATCCATCAGTTTTTCAACTGTGAATTCAGAAGTAATGGAAATTTTCAACCAACCAAACTTCATCTTCCAACAATATCTCCATAAAGTTCATACTTTTAATCACTATGCTGTTCTCTTGATAAAATGTAAATGTGAAATAAAGTTAAGCAATAAATTGCAGACATACCTTGAAGATTAAGACAAATTTATCTCTGACCTCTCCCCCACCCTGCTCTTGTGAATGGAATTTATAAAGTTAGCTACTAAGAGCAAGAGATTTTGTAATGAATTTGAAAGTTTCAGAGGGCAATAAATAGAGTCTTTTCAAATGGTTAACAAAAGATTCAAACACATTTCCTTATATGTAAGTTTCCCCCTGATTTTTCATTTATTACAGATAAGCAAACAATTTTGATAACTGCATGTTCTGCTCGTGGCTCAGAAGAACAGATCTTGAAGTGTGTAGAACTACTACTTTCCAGAAATGCTGATCCAAATGTTGCTTGTAGGTAAGGGTCTTACTATCTGCTCAGAAATGAAGGTGTTTTTTTTTTATTATCAGCCTAGTCACTGTCACTGTCCTCCCGTTGTTCATCGATTTGCTCAAGCAGGCCCAGTAACATCTTCATTGGAGACTTTGTTGTTACTGTGTTTGGCATATCGAATACATCACGGGTAGCTTGCCAGGCTCTCCCGTGTGGGCGAGATACTCTTGGTAGCTTGCCGGGCTCTCCGAGAGGGGCGGAGGAATCAGCCTAGTAAATATTTTATATCATGTTTTTTTAAAAAATAATGAACAATTGCATTTAGGTGGCATATGTTTGATGAATAAAGATAGATTATAAATTTATGGTTCCAGTAGTATGAGATAACCAAAATAAGGGCTTATAAAGGTCTTTAAACTTTTAGCTATAGAGGGATGTCTTAAGAATTTAAAATAAGGGCTGGAAAAATAGTATAGTAGGGTTAGGCTTTTGCCTTGTATGCAGTCAACTCCATTTCTGTTCCAAGTACCACATATGGTCCTCTGAACACTGCCAGACATCACTCCTAAGCACAGAGCCAGATGTAGACCCTGAGCATGCTGGGTCAGGCCCCCAAACCAATAAAACCTAAAAAATTTGAAATAAGAGGGAAAGGAGGAGTATTAACTATTTTGTCACCCAGTGAAATACTTTGGTCAGTAAAGTACGACTGAACTTTAGTAGTAAGCCTCTTAGTATTTTCTTTGTATGTCTTACTAAATAATTTTACACAAATGTTAAGAATTCTAAAGTGATATGTCATAATATTTGCATTTTCCTACGACTTCTTAAATTTTTATATATGTAATAGTGTCTTGTTTGTAGAGAGACAAGCATATATTTTACCATGCATCTGTTTAAATATTAGTAATCAAAGATGAATCAGATTGTTTAAAATTTTTATCACTTCATTAATAATAATGATCTTGTGCTTGGCAAATAAAAATAACTGAACTTATTATAAACTATATTAGAAAATAAAAATAACTGAACTTATTATAAGTGCCTGGATGCCTGATAATAGCTTTGGAAGGTAATACACAGATTGCTATAAATTCCAGATCTTTTCTGTGATGCATAGATTTAGACTATGTAGAGTGGTTCTGAAGTAAGTTCTGTTTGCCTCTCAGTGGAATTGACAATGTCTGGAAACATTTTTAATGTCAATTTGGGAGATTCCACTGACAACTAATGAATCGAATCTTGGGGTGCTGTTTAACATCCTACAATGAATAGGGTATTGCCTCAAAACAGTTTGAAGATGCAAAAAAGGCAAAATTAGAGTGAAATTGAATTTTATTTTTTATTGTTTGTTTTTTTTTCGAACTACATCCAGCTGTGGTTAGGGCTTACTTCTGGCTTATCTCAGAGATCACACCTGTTGGGGCCCAAAGGACCATGTGTGGTAGTTGGGGGACAAACAGGGGTCAGTTGTGTTCAAGGCTAAGGCTTTACCTGCTCTGCTGTCCCTCCAACCCAAATAGCAGAATTAGTATTTTCAAAATAAATAACTGGTTAAAAAAACAATTGCTTGAACTGTTTCAGGTATCAATTTTTAAGAATTTTTATTTTGTAATATATGCAGTCCTTTGTTAGAGGGACTTTTGATTTGTACCTTGAAATCCTGAATTCCTTTACTACAGTAAAGGTTGACATGTGCTATCATGATGTCATTTAGATTTGTATCTTTCCAAGTGGCTTGTGATAAGAATTTCGTGGTTCCTTAAAACTTTGGTTTTTTGATTGGTATTTTTCAGTAGTTTGTTTTTAACTACTTCTACAAGGTATGATAGTTTGAATTTTTAATATACCAGTTTCTCACTATCTTGTAAATATACCAAAGGAAAAGTCAGGTAATCTGGCATAAGGTTCTAGATTAGTCTGTGTTCTGTCCTCATGAACCAGAAAGATACCTTTCAGATATACAGGTAGATCTGGAAAGATAAAACATTCCATTTCAATCAGAATGATGCAAGGTGAGCAACTCTAACTAAACCTATAAGGCAGCCATATAATTTCAAAACTAAGAACCCTAGAAAAGCTGATGGAAATAAAAGAGCTTGAGGGTTAGATTGCTGTGTGTTCAATAAAATTAGATTTACAGCATGCCTGAAAAAAAATGATTTGTGTATCTGCATCTCACTTAAAATGAGATACCTGAAAAACTATACAATTGGTTTTATTTTAATGTTCAAAACATAGATAGAACAAAGGAAAAAAAGAATTACTTTCTTGCAGAAAATAGAGTATATAAATAGAGCTGAAAAAGTAAGTTATGTAGAGTTCAAAAAATTAATTCATGTTAAATAATGCTTTTAGGTTGCTGTTTTATGAGAAGGATTGCATTAGTGTATGTATGGAGATAGCATACTAGCATTGTGAAAGAAAAAAATCTCAGGATTCAAGGAAAGTTTTAAGAATTTGGGGTGAATTTTTTGTAAGTGATTCATTAGCAGTTACAAAAAGATCAAAACTTAGTACAACACTGGGAATTATAGATTCTTCTACAAAGTTCCAAAAGACATTAGGGATATGTGAAGCAATACTTTAGGTATAAGAAAGGAGAAATGTTTGCTTTTGAACTGGCGACGTACCCTATTTTGTTGAACAGTTCTACCAAGAAAAATTACTTCAAGAAAACAGGGGAAAATTACTTCTCAAGAAAACATAGTTCTATACAATGGTCATATGCTTGATAAGTGCTGGTCATTTGATGTTAAACTTCTAGTAATAGTATATTGCCCATTATGATTCATCAGAGAGGGTTTTGTATATTTCTGAAAGGTGCCTAGGCGTTGTCAGTTCTAAATTCATGTCATATAAGTTTACTTGTAGACTACAAGGTTTTGAATGGATCTTGAATAAAACTTTGCTATTAATTTTAATTGAGATAATAGGTTTTATATAGTATTAATACTTCTGTTTTAGGCTTATAGTGTTAACTGTATCATATCTACCGCCACAGTACTAGTACTAATATTGCTACACCATATCCCTAGGTGGGTTATCATCTGCCACACCTTTCCCATCCAGCTCCACCCCTTGCTTGACAAGCTCAGTGACAAGCTCAGTTCTGTTGGCAATTTTGGGGTTTATTTTCATAAACCATTGCCTATCACCTTGTTTTGTTTTTTATATTCTATATAGGGATGATGTAATCCAGTATTTGTCTTTTTTTTTTTTTACTTATTTAACACATCACTTCTGGTTCCACCCAAGTTGAAGTAACATGAAAGATTTCATCTTTTCTTTTTACTGAATAATGTTCTATTATGTATTTATGCTGCAATTTCTTTATCCTTGAGTGTGGTTTGTAAACTCTCTTTTAAGTATTCTTTTTTCAGTGTCACCTCAGCCACAGTTCTTTCTCCTGTCAGGTTCTTCTGAACTGACAAATGTTGTAAAATCAAAAGCAACCTTGAGTGCTGGATTTATGTAATAAACTTACTTTAGGATTTTTACATCTGGATATTATCATATTAGCTTTTTTTAATTTTAAAAGAAGCAGTATTTTTCAGACTGATATACTTATTTTTGATGTTAAGAAATCTAGGGGTGTTCAGGGATCCCTACAGTAGTCACTCTGGGACCACTGGTTCAATTCCAGGTGGTGTCCAGGGGGCCCTAGGGCTTTGCATATGCAAGACAAATCCTTTATCACTTCAAAGACACCCCAGTGCTCCCTGGCTAGCAATTTTAAATGTTTTCATAACTTTGGTTCAAATTAATGTAACCTGCTATTATTAGAAGTAGAAGAAAGCATCTTTTTCATTTTTAAATTATTTTTAATTTATATCTTTTGCTAGCTTTTTACATGTAGATTTTGTGGTGCCTGGCAGCACACCTGGGGTCTCACTCCTGCACAGCACTAAGTTACAGCCGTAGTTCTTTACATCTTTGTATTCTGTGCAGACGTTTTTAATCTTGCTGGAAATAGCACTGACTGTGTTTGTTGAAAATAGCACAAACTGTGTTTGATGATCATCTATATTGTTACATAGATATTTGCTTTGTTCTTTTATTTTCTTAATTAAAACATTTTCCTTCGTATAAAAAATGGTGAAAATATGACATATTCACACATCTTATATCTCTCCTGGATCTTGTTACTGACAAGTGTTATTTAGCACCGTGTACTATATCTGACCAATATGGGAATTGAATGCTGATTTGTTTTGTGCTTATTGTTTTGGGGGTTAGAATTTTTGATTTGACTTTAAATGAAATATGTAACACTGTAGCACTGTCCTCCCGTTGTTCATTGTTCATCGATTTGCTTGAGCAGGCACCAAAAAACGTCTCCATTGTGAGACTTGTTGTTACTGTTTTTGGCATATCGAATACGCCACAGGGAGCTTGCCAGGCTCTGCCATGTGGGTGGGATACTGTTGGTAGCTTGCTGGACTCTCTGAGAGGGGCAAAGGAATTGAACCCGAGTCAGCTGCATGCAAGGCAAACACCCTGCCCACTGTGATATGTATTTTAGTGAAACATATTTTCCATATGCCAGGTACTAAGTTAATTGTACTTAAATATGATATTTAATAATAATTCCTATGTTGAAATGCTCATTGATATATAATTTTTATAGAACATGGAATTAACACTCAAATATTTCAACCTTTGAATATAGCAGACATCTGATAAGGAAGCGTACAGTAGTTTAATTGAAACAGAATACACGGTTAAATGTGTACATAGTTCTCATCTTGTCTTTCCAACGCAACTAATTTAAACATATCTTTTATAATTTTTGAAAAAAACAATGTGCTAAAATAACTTTTGTCTTTTGAATTTTTTTCCATTTTCTCTCCCCAAATTACTGTAAGCAGTTGAATACTTTGACTTTTAAAAATGTCCAGAATCGGGGCTGGAGAGATAGCACAGTGGGTAGGGTGTTTGCCTTGCACGCGGCTGACCTGAGTTCAATTCCCAGCATCCCATATGGTCCCCTGAGCACCGCCAGGAGTAACTCCTGAGTGCAG